CGTTCGGCCCGAACGGCCGAACGCAACGCCAAGGGGTCCCATACGTTCGGGCATTCGGGTTCGGGCGTTCGGGTTCGGGCGTTCGGCCCGTCCAGAACGCCGGTTACCTTGTATATATATATATGTAAAAAAAATTGATATGACCCCAACATAAAAGTTGTTCAGTTTATTTTTATGCATAACATATATATATATATATATATATATATATATATATATATATATATATATATATATATTTTTGGCGTTCAGGTATCGCCGAACGCGTCTCCAAGGGGGCTGGGGGGCCGAACGTTTTTTTTCGAAATGTTCTTGAAAGTTACATTTATTTGTGAAATAACCCTCTGACGGCTGACTTACCCTGATTTACTCTTCTGACAACAATTGAAGTTTTTGAAAAAAACAGTATGTCGTTTGGGTATGATATATGTTAAATTTGCCTCTGTCAGTACCGGTATCAGTACCAAATATCCAGTACGCCCATGTCGGATAGTAGTTGATTAACATACATCTACTCAACTGATTAACATATATATATGGTTGTCCTTGTGATCACATACTATGCTGATGTAATTTGCCTTATGCAGCGGGCAAAAAAAAAAACAATCATAAAAAACAAACAAACAAACAAATGAAAGAAACGAAAAATATAAGCAATATATATATATACACATATCTGTGTAGCATCGTCTTGGGGTTCGGTGAGCGAACGCGAACGGGCACGAAAACCCTCCGAAGGCGAAAATATATATATATATTTGACGATATATATATATATATATATATATATATTATTTGAAAAAAAATCAAAATACAATTATGACATGAAAAATAATAATACAAAAGAACTTCAGTCTGACAGGCATGCTCAAATTCGTAACAAAAGTCGACCGAAAAATAAAAAAAACTAATGTCCGGATCTTGCCACAATTGTTGGTCTTTGTGAGTATATATATATATCATCTTTGGGTGTTCGGTCGAACGACTCCCAGACCGTGGTCCCGCTAGCAAAGGGGATATGACAAAAACCCAAAGTACGGTCATGTTTGCTGCAGAGATGCAGAAAAGCAGTTC